TCTCTGTTATGCCATCATCCACAGCCGAGGTAGAAAGGCAGTTTTCCTTGATGAAGTGCATCCTTGGTGACTAGAGGCATTCGCTTTTAAAAGAGATGTTCTTGAAAAGATCATACTTATACGTCCCAATGGTCCTGAGATCAAAGAATTCAATCTACTAGAATCCTGCATTGCCAAGAGGCAAGAGATGTGTCTCACAAATAGATGTCCTGATAAAACAGCACTATTCTCTGAAATCATCTTCTCTGGTGATACTTTTAAATATTAAACTAGTTTTTTCCCAAAAGAGACAAACAGTAAGCCAGTTTTTTTCTTATATTTGTGAGTGCTTTGGCACAGTACAGTGTTGGAGACGACACTGTGTAGGCCCTACATGACCTACTAAAGCCTGGTAAGTCGATATAGGCTACTTGGCAGGTATGCGGACTTAATGAAAAACTAGTGTGTTGACCGTTAGCGTGGCTTTTTATGTTCGTGGGCTTCACCAGGTACCCAGGAAGCATGTCGATAAAGCAGAGTTCAGTGAAGATTTTGAAGGAAAAATTCCGTTAATTGGAAAAAATGTCAATATGTCAAAATGTCAATAAATCGGACGTCGATATAAGAGGATTATACAGTGAATGCAGTTGCGAGCGCTGTAAAACACTTACTTACCAAAACAAAACAAAAACATTTTTTTTAAGGTCATCCTCCGCTTCATTCAGCAATTACTTGAGCACAAAAACAAGTTAGGAGAATAAAATGTCATTTATTAATTCTTACTCTTAATAACTTCATAATTAATAATAAAGAAAAGAGCAGGATTACCTTTTAGTTTTAGTAAGAGTTTTACTGCACTTGCAACAAAATAAGGTCATATATAAGTGCCGAAGATTAGAGTAGAGGTGTTACAAGAGAATAGCAAACACAAAAAAAGAAGGAGGAGAGATAAAGATCATAGATCTTTTATAGGAAAGAAGAAGCAAAACACACCAGAGCAGCACCCGCCACCACCAACGGATTATCTTTGAAAGAATCTAAACCCCAGTGGCTACGTTCATGGCGCCTAGAACATAGTCTGCAGGCTACGTTCATGGCACCCTGAACGCAGTTTGCAGGCGCTGTTGAGGCTACGTTCACGGTACTAAAGCTTCGTTTAGAGGGAGCGTCCACTCCCGGTTTAAGCCAGCCAGTTTTAGTCAGTGACGACAGTGACGTATATTTAACATTAAATTTTGGCCAGCTTCAAGTGTTCCACCCCATGAGAAGAAGGAAAACGAAGTGCCCTTACAGAAATAAAGTCGGGATATGGGATATATGGAAAATTAGATACGACATAGGAAGGTAACCAGTCATTTCGTCACACCCCAATTATAATGTGTGACGAAATGACCTAAAGCTTTTTTTGAAGTTATATAAATTATTAACGTAAATTAAATCTTCGTCCAAACTGTTCAATAGTTGAACAATTATTTGTTTAAAAAAGGCAAAACAATGTCTGGTAAAGAGTTAATTACGGCTCTATGTTTGAAAGTAAGGGTCTACCTTTTAGCAAAATCGCAGTACCGTACATTTTTCTATTAGCTAATTTAACTAATAATATGGTCTTGCCAATTACACACATTTCATCAATAATACCTAAAAACTTTGTTGATCTGACTCGATAGGCCTAGATTTCAATATTGTCAATACATATTTTTATGAACGGTGTAGCTGATCAGGTAGGAACGATGACTCGCACAACCATGCGCCCCCGTCCTTCCACACACAGCCCCAACTCTCCCCAAAAAATCGCGATTTGCGATTGCCATGTCATGACAATGCGAGTTTGATGTTAGCAAGTATGCTACGAAATGACCGTCCCCATTCAACCTTGTGGGTTTGGGGTATGACGAGATGACTGTGACGTCTTGACTGCACCGGAGTGATGAAATGACTGGTATTCCAATTCCAAGGGAAACAAGAGGGGAGAGATGGGAAAAAAACAGAAGGTGGGATTCAGAAGATGGGACTGGTCATAAAATGTGTACAATAATAACTGACTGTATCGCGCTGGGTCACGCAGAGAGAAAATGACGGTAATCAATTATTCTTATTATAATACGTATAACAAACACCATCTTTCTCTCTCCCCTTTCTCTTTCCTTCTCTCTTTCTCTCCCCCCCCCCCACTCTATTTTTCTCTGTCTCTCCCTCCCTCTTTCTCCCCCCCCCCCCCCCCCCTTCTCTCTCTCTCTCTCTCTCTCACACACACACACACAGCCTGCAGACAAAATTGCACGCTTTCAACTCGAAAGCGCTGTAAAGTTTGCTTACACTCGTATATCACGGGCCGTCAGGCGTTAACACAAAGGTCGCGCCCAAGTCTCGCCCGGGCACGGGATAGGGCAATTGAAACAACTTGGTAGGCGTACATTTTCGTCACATATATCTTAATGCGTTGTTGTATGATTGACAGTTCGTCGTTTTCCCTTAAAAACTTACTACTGGTGAGCTCTGAGCCAGAGCTCAGAGTAGGCCCTAAGGGAAAACGACGAATGGTCAATTGGTCAAGGATCACTGCTTCGTTTTCCTTTATCTCATAGGATGGATCGCTTGAAACAGGCCAAAATATTAACTCATTCGCTACGCCGAGCCGTGGGGGGCGGCGCGGCTAAAGTGCCGTCAGTATTTTAAGCCGCCCCTGGCGGCTCGAGAACCGATCTTCAATTTTAGCTTAGATTCTATTCCAATCCACATATATCCATGTTAAAATAAAGGTCATAATATAATGTTGACTTCTGGGTCAAGCATTTCCACCGAAAATTGGAAGTTATGATTCAGTTTTGAAACACAATTTCAAAGTTTATGCGACTTTGTTTCATCACGATGCTCAAATTATAGCCCAGACCTCAGTCTTACTACTTTTACACAACAAAATATATCATTATTTTGCACACGAAAGAAATGTAGGACTCTTCTTTAGAATATTGATACAATTGGGCTCAAATTGCCATTGCTCTGTTATTGAGAAATCAATATTTTTCAGGGCTAGATCTATATATATCTAGATTATATATCTAGATCTTGATTTAAACTGTGAAAAAAAAAAATTTCTCCAAAAATCTGTTACTTTTTTGTGAAATTACACAAAAAGTACCACTCAAAACATGTGTAGATCTAGTTTTATTCCAAATGCAATTCTGAATAATTCCATAAACGATACGAGTGTTTTTTTCTGTTTGCGAATGCATCTTGTCCATTTTTCAAGATTATAAAATTTTTAAATTTTTTTTTCAATATCAGATGTCACGATCCAAAAGTGCAAATTTTATGGAATGTAGAATAGATCTATAAATAACTCCAAATTGTTCAATATTTTCCAGTTCTATATTCATTTATTTATGGTTATTTTGAATTGATGTATCATTAGACAAGATTTAGGTGCAAACATATTTTTCGAGTTTCACCGAAGATGATTAATTTTTTATTTTCAAATTTCAAAAGCATCCAAGCAAAATTGTGTTGCATAATCGCCACTTACAGGAACCAAAGTTGAAAAATGCACAAATAAATATTACAGATGTTAGATCTATTCTACAAATCATACTGAAAATTACGGTGCATAATATGTTAATATTTAGTTGAATTTGTTGCCCGAAAGACCTACGAACTGCGCACTAGATCTAGATGTAGTCATCATCTCATTTCGCCTTCCTGAAAATAATACGTAGCGAAACAGTTAAATATACCTCACTGTCGTCATTGACTAAAACCGAAAGTGGACGCTCCGTCTAAACGTAGCTTGAGTGCCGTGAACGTTATATATTATAAGGTCAACAGCGCCTGCAATGAACTGCATGAACAGGGCCCCATAAACATAGCCTGCCAAAGTAACTTTCTACGTTCACAACCCAGTACAAACATACCCACCTATTGTGCCAAAATTTTGCTGAAATGGCTCAATATTTCTAATAAAACAATTACAGTGACAGGCACTACTTGGATATGGTGGTCCCGACTTTGGTGACAGGGAAATATATCCCAGAGAAAATCAAGAATCTAGTTTTGACCCCAACGACGATTACTTCTGATTCTAAGTCTAAACGATTACTTTTTTTTTCGCGTGCCCATATATTGTAGAAACCGACAGTGGACGCTCCGTCTAAACGAAGCTTGAGTGCCGTGAACGTTATAAATTATAAGGTCAACGTTGTCAACAGCGCCTGCAATGAACTGCATGAACAGTGAACAGGGCCCCGTAAACGTAGCCTGCCAAAGTCAAAGTAACTTTCTACGTTCACAACCCAGTACAAACATAGCCACCTATTGTGCCAAAATTTTGCTGAAAAGGCTCAATATTTCTAATAAAACAATTACAGTGACAGGCACTACTTGGATATGGTGGTCCCGACTTTGGTGACAGGGAAATATATTCGAGAGAAAATCTAGAATCTAGTTTTGACCCCAACGACGATTACTTCTGATTTTAAGTCTAAACGATTACTTTTTTTTTCGAGTGCCGATATGGAGAGACAGCCTTTCAAACCTAATTGCAAAACATCAAATTGTGGTCAAATTCAGAGGGGCATGCCCCCCTGAAACACCCCATGTTTGTTTTTTTAAGTCAGGGGGGGCAACCCCCTTTGCCTTGTGAAAAACAAGTGAATTTTACTGCTCATTTTGTAGGCTAAAATCTAGATTTAGATCTAGGGTACCTGATAAAACATTTACATTGATACGGACTATTTAAAGACTTGAGACAGAAAGTGGGGCTCTGTGATCTACTTTCACTTTCACAAAAAAACAATAAGAACTTGGAAAGCCACGTGAAAAATAATTTTAAAAATGAAGACACTACAGGACCACAGTATTTCGTTTCTAAAACATGTAGATCTTAGATTCTAGATATCTAGATCTAATGATTTTCTTACGCTAAAAATATTTCAAGACTCGTCCGTGTCTACACAACATACAGACGACGGTAAAATCAAGAGGCCCTCCTTTGATGGGTTGATTTTATCAACTAACTGGAGGTCAATTCAGGCAACAAGGGAAGCTACTGTGATCAATTCGTAGGAGGGGGAGATTACCAAAGCAGGAACTACTGTAAACAATAACATTGCGTTTGGTTGGCCTGCAGCACTCTTTAAAACAGCATCAAAGTGTTATGAATGACTATGACATGAAAGTTTACACAGTTTAGTCCGTGTTTAATTTCGTTATAAAAAGTTAGTACAAATGTAGATTTAGAATCTAGTTGATTAAGAATGATTACCAAGAATGATAAGTTGATTGTGAATGGACTGACCATACTTTACATTACACACTTCCGCATTATCATTAGATCTAGATCTAGATTCTAGTCTAGATCTAGATTCTAGTCTAGATTCTAGATCTAGATCTAGATCTAGATTCTAAAAAACTTCCCTTCTTGAACTTCTTCAAAAACTGCCTAAAAATGGAGAAAGGTCCGGGGGGGGGGGGGGGTATTTCGAATTGTTCCTCAAAACCGGGTGTCTCCTTGTATTTGCAGCAAAGGAAGCTGTACCCGTCATACACTGCTCCATTATGATGAGAGCTTTCAATCTCTGGCCTTGTGAGGGCAGCCAGTATATGCTGACAAAAGGATAAAAATAAAGAACTATAGATCTAGAAATCTAGATGATCTCTGACTGAAATATTCTGCTGATTAGAAGTTCTTCAATTTCGGGTGAAGATCCATATATTTGGAATTTAAAGCAAAGGAGTGACTCTGTAATTTGTAGTATAGCCTAATATAGTGGTTCAGATTCAACAAAAACTAGGATTCAACTACTAAAGGAGACTAGTGCTGTTTCCCCGTTTAATTAAAATAAACAAAATAACCCGCATTCAATAGACATGTAAATGAGTAAACTCAGATTCAATGAAGTCCCTTGCTGTGGAAACAGTCCCTGGTGATGTGGCTTCACACATTTTTTCTCATGAACCATAGTAAAATAAATCCTCTAGAGATGCTATTCTAAGAGCCCATCCAAGGCTCTCATAAAATTTCTAACCTTTTGCTTACATTTTATGCGACCAATTATATAGGGACCTTCTTTCACACCAGCTCATGTGTTGTTGGCATGATGTGTCTTAGTTTGTCGGACAGCCTGCCTCAGACCTGTCACATAGACGAGCGTGAGTTGTCACAAAATAAAAGCATCTCGGGAACGGCCACCACCTGGTTGGTCATCAGGCTGAGATTTCATGACGTGACGAAATCGCGCAGTTCCTTTGCTATTTCTTCAGGCCACTTTGATTAACACATTAAAGTAAAGCCATAGTTTGAAAATAAGAGCACTTTCAATCTGTGCAAATCAGGAGCAAATCAGCCAGAAATTTTAGAAGCAGTGTTTATTTAGTCGTTCTTTTTCATTCATTGGCAAAACCTGGAGGTAAGCAGGGCTGGCAGTATAGTAGAGGAGTGTAACAACGAGGTTTGTAGATAGTTTTTCAACTGCCAGTTGGTTTACTGAAATTGTGTAGGCCTGCATGTGCAGTGAGCCCCACGTATAACAGTCACACAAGCTTTTGATGAATCCCGGAGTCCAGTCTTTTAAATCTTTTTAATGTCAGGCATTCAGACCCACATCTCTGTCAGTTATAACAGTGGTCCAACCATCAACAAAATTGTAAAAAAAACAAGCAGGAGAAAGGAAATAAAGCCAAACCACATCATACGTGGCAAATTGGAACAATACGTGTTTCAATGTAGACCAAAGTTGATTGTGGAGACATTTTATGATGTGTCATGACATGTGTGCAAGGAGTATAGGGGGAAAAGCTGTATGAACTTTGCTGTTGATCCAAATCAAGTCAGTGACATAATGATAGAGTGACTTTGGTCTGGTACCACATCATCACGTTACTTCCACATGAGTTTGCGAGACTTGTTACGAGGAAATAAGGTTGAATGAAAAGTAGGCACTGGGCAGTAGATACTACAGATCTATGTCATGTGTGTAGATTCTACTTCTTTTCACAGCTGTGGCAACTATTCAGTTATGAATGGTTGTAAAGTTTTGGGTTGTAAAATGCACAGAACATGCTGCAGGCTCTGTGGAGCACGATATATGTGCTCTAAAAGTGCAATTAGTAGGCTATTGTTATTACCCATGCATCTCAAATCATGTCTAGTCAACCTCCGTGAGACAAAGCTAGTAGAAAATGATCCCATTTGATAATCATGAATCACAGTGTATGTAAACTTCCATCCTCATCTGTAACTGGATTCTGCTATAACAGTAATAACAGGGATATCATGGCGGTCCCTGCAGTCCTGTTATTATTGGGTCCTACTGTAGCATGCTAAGGTGATCACTGAATTTCAGCATAATAGGTAGGCCTACCACTAAGTTCAGCTGCCCCCCCCCCCCTTCTGAATGAGACCTAGTGTGCAGATCCAGGCTCACAGAGTGGGGTTTGTGCTTTGTCTTACAGTTACAGGACCAGGTAACAACCAGCTGGAGGGGGTTAAAACTATTACTTTCACCAAGAAATGTTTCTTGTTTCTACTTTTAGGTGAAATGAGTACTACAAGTACAAGCAGTGAAGATGACTTCAAGGCTGCTATCGTCCTGGACAATGGTTCTCACAGAATCAGAGCTGGCTTTGCCGGAGATGATGCACCTCGCTGTTTTATACGAACTGTTCTTTGCCATTCATGTGATAGTAGTGATACTGAAAATGCAGACCGGGAGGACTTTTACGTCGGAGACCATGCTATGATAAAACGTGAAATATTATCTCTAAAATGCCCAATAGAATACGGTATTGTCAGTAACTGGGATGACATGGAAAAGATATGGGACTACGTGTTTCAACAAGAATTGAGAGTCCCATCTGATTACCAACCAATTCTTGTGACAGAACCTCCTCTGAATCCAAAAGCAAACAGAGAAATGATGGCTCAAGTTATGTTTGAGACATTTAATGTGCCACATATGCATGTGAGTGCACCTGCAGTTCTGGCCTTCTATGCAAATGGAAGAAATTCAGGTATTGTTCTGGACATTGGTGAGACTGTGACACATGTAATGGCGTCATACGAGAGCACTTTCTTCCCTAATGCAACAAAGCGGGTAGATATAGGTGGAAAAGATTTGACTGAACACTTACAAAAAATGCTAATGGAAAAGGGACACAGTTTTACTACGCCTTCTGAGTTACAAGATATAGGAAATATGAAAGAAAGAATGTGCTATGTACGACATTCAAAGAATTCTGATCTTCTGACAAACAATTTCCTTACTTCATGTCCTGAGAAACAATTTACGTTACCTGACGGTAAAAGTATTACTGTGACCAACGAACAGTTCATGTGTCCAGAAGCTCTTTTCAGTCCTTCGTTGATGGGCAGTGAATTTGAAGGTATCCATACATTGGTGCATGAATCGTTGATGTGTTGTGCCGTGGACACAAGACCTGATATGTTAGTAAATGTTTTGTTATCAGGGGGATCAACTATGTTTCAAGGATTAAATGACCGCATGCTTCAAGAATTAAAAGTTTTGATTTCACCGAAAATGAAGTTGAAAGTCATAGCTCCTCCTGAACGGAAAGCATCTGTGTGGATAGGTGGTTCTATCCTTGCATCACTCTCCTTCTTTCAAAATCATTTTATAAGCAAATCGCAGTATGAAGAGCATGGACCTTATGTCATGCACAGGTGTGTCTGAGGTTATGTATAGCTATGTATAATGTATATTATATCCATAGCTTAATACAGTCCTATTCAACTCAGCTGAAACTGTTAAATCAAGCTAAAACAGGCAGGGCACACTCTGGATTCCTCAATGGTCAGCTTGGCTGTAATAAAGATAGCTCCCTGATATTAAACTGATGCCCCATTTCCATTTGTAGTGAAGAAAGTGTTTTGGAGCCTGCATCAGCAGTCAGAATTTGCTCTTACTACTTAATTAGGTTAGGTCTAAGCTCAAAAGAGCAGGAACACCAGGAGGCTGTTACTGTTAAGTGCACGCATGCAGTTGAACAGATGGGTAGGTCATTGGTTGGTTTAGAATGTGAACAGGAAATAACTAACCAGGCCAACGTAATTCATGACCAAAATTCATTTTAAAAATTGTGCAGATGGCAAATAAAAAAAAATTGGCAGAAATTGTGAAAATAAATTCACGAACTTCTGCGAGAACTTATGGACAGGCTACTGTCCTTGAATGTGCACTAGACTTTGAATAACTATGACTCTGCCCAGCTTACACATTGTATGTTTAAAGATTTGATGGGATATCGTGTATGTATGTCCATCACTGACAATACATTGCCAATGCATGATGTATCATAATGTAGGCCTATGCTTGTGTTCTAATTCAGACAATGCTACATGGTGTTGCAAATTTAAAACTTAAAGGGGAGTTCATACGTTCTTCCCACTTATAGAGCACGATGAATTCATCCTCAAATACTTTTTTCATTCAAATTTGATTTCTTGTGTCACATCATTAGCTCTGATGTAATCTTTTCATCCCTGAATGTAAAAAAACTAAACATTTCTGACATGCTCAATTTTATATATATGCCTTATTTTTATTTGTTATTATATTAAGTTCGTGTTATTATACTGTTGACTTCCAAGATTGTTTGTATGGTCATGTTGTGATATAGCCTGATCAAATTTACAACGCTCAGGGTAATGAAGTTTTGTGTTCTTTCATGTTGATAATGATATGCTGGGAAAGTGGATGGTTGGAGGATCTACTTTCTTATTTTCCCTCTGTTGATTCTCCTGTCTGTTTATCTTGCTTCTCCGAAGCACTAAATGACTGTTGTTGTATTTTTATGATGTGCTTTTCTTTACTCGAAACTCAAACACACTGAAAAAATAATGTCTAAGAGTGTGATTTATTGCTGAGAAAGTCTGTCATGTACACAAATACAAACATACTTGGAACATGCAAACTAATTTTAAATGACACATAATATAGTGAGAAAATAACTGGCAATGATATGTTGTAGAGACAGTGCAATTTTTTTTTTAAGATGAACTGTTAACTGATCATGTTTGGAGAGAGTGAATTAGTGTGAGATTTAGGAATAAAAAATACAGTGTTAATAATAATATTGTACTTAAATGAAAACTCTTCTTCGTGTATTTTTAAAATATATACCCAGCAGCAATAGAAACTTTCCACTTTGTTTTTTTTTGTAACTGCACCCTAGTTCACTTGAGTAAGTGAGCACAATTTTGCACCTCACTCACCATGTACTCAACGATTACTAATGCGTTGATCTCTTTCCTGAACAAAAATTTATCCACGTGGGCACGTGACCCACATACAAATTAGTTTTGTGACTTATAAGTTCCCCCAAAATTATGAAATAGTCTAAATCGTATTTAGATCAACACATCAGCGATTTTAGAACCGAAAAAACAAGTTACGTAGACATTCCAGCTGGCTTTTGTCAACTTAAATTGCTTTACAAGATTCCAAGGTTGAGCCCCGAGGAGCGGAGTTGGACAATTTGAACACTCCAAGTTGTACTATCGGCCCGTAGAGTTGCACGAAAGCTCCATTGCTCCCATCCTACCATTAATATCCTGAAAGATTGGTTCCAAATCCAAGTCACTGGAGTTACACTTGACAGACCCAGACCAGGCAGACCACAGGTCGATACCGCCCAAGAAGACAGACAGATACTGCTCAGGTATCTTTGAGCTCACTTTCTCATAACAACCAGCTCTGCACGTCAATTTCTTACAAACACTGAAAGAGTTATCAGCGATAGTTAAAACACATTCGGACATCGAGCAAGGCGGCCCTGTAATGACCAACGTTTGCCGTCTTTCCAATAATTACGCTTGAACTGACTAAGCCTAAATGGTAGCTCCTAAAACGACAGTAAGATTGCGCAACGATAGGGATTAGCTTTGATTCAAGAGTGGAATGGACTGCCACAACAATTAATAAACCACAAGAAACAAAAAAAACTGACTCGATCAATGAGCAGAACATGCCAAGCTTGCATCATTGCAAAGGGTTACAATTCCCGTTACTGACGTGAAATTTTGAAATCAAGGGGTACAAGTACAAGTAGGTACATAATGTACAACGTACAATGTACGAGTTTGTGCTTAACACTGTGACACAATATGAGACTTGATCGAGAAGCAAAAGGTAAAACACTTCTTGACCTACTTTGAAATATAATATGTCTGTGTCAATTTGTGTTTTAACGTTGAATAATACGCACAATACATACTTCTTTCCAGGTGGACAGTTTCTATTGTCGCTGAGTATATACATGATGTATTTATGCATGATTGATAATGTAACTGTTTAATTCAAGATAGAGCCTACTCACTGATCACATTGTTAAATTTGTAGGCCTACACATCAACGTAAGAATTTAGTTTTGTTTCTGAATGTCAAGAAAAAGAGGTACATGTATTTCATTTTTAGGGCAGGAGCGGGGG